GGTGTGCTCAGGGACAGCGCCCGATGCGCTTGTCACATCGAGGGTTTGGAACACTCAGCCCTCCGCAGGTGTGTACGGGCTGTACCCCTGGTTTCCCCATCTCCCTCCGCACCGCGTCTCTGATAGCAGGAACGGGGTGCAGGCCTCAAGCTGCATTTCCACTAAACATTCACCTTGTGAAACACTGTCACAATTGCTGCAACACTGCACCAGCAGTATCTAAAATTTACACTGAAGGAACTAGAAGCCTTGTGGATCAATTAAAAAATTTCCATAATTGTATATGGCAACAGTTTAGTGAAGATACGCTCTGAACTGCATCCGGGGTGTTCTAATTCTGCCTGTGTGTAATTTGGAACTGTCTTGTTCTAAGACTGAGCTGAGAATATGAGACTGAATAACAAAAAAACCCTTCTGTTTTAGAAGAATCAGTTCCAATAAATTACATCTAAGTTGCCCTGAACTAGCAAGAGAAAATACATGTTTCATTTCTTGTAAATTGTTCAGGTGGGCACTGTACAGAACTTCTGCAAAGTGCTTTGAAGTAAGGTGGGATAAAAAAACACTGCAGAGAAGTAGTTTACTTAGAAATTGAATTGTTCTTTAGGGCAAGCATATTGTAAAAGGCTCAAGTGAGAAATAGTCCGAAGAGAGGAACAGATCCAAGTTCCTTCTTTACAAACTAACTAAGTATTTTTCAATAGTTAAGATCAACCATCACGTGGCAGCATCAATTCCCAAGCCCAGAATCAGACTGCAAGTTCTTTGCCTTTCCTCAGTCTGAAACTGGTGCAAAAAGCAGAGGGAAAGCAGGATGGAAAGGATTAATCACTTTTACCTGCAGCAATAATTTAAGAACATAACTGGTAACATAAGCATCTGCTTCATTATACACTGTGATAACCCTGCTGTATACATCACTATCACAGGTGGAATGATGTTGGATCTACTAAAACAGCCATGAGAGTAGTATTCAGCCAGTTAAAATCTCTGCTCCATCTGGCTCCATCTTCAACACTAAGACACGAACACTGTCTTTGGATCTGGAGCATCCAGTTCTTCCTGAGCTGACAGTCTCTTAAGGTCAGCGTGGTCCACCTCAGAAAACCTGACAGATTTCAGTTAAGTGAAGCCTACAGTATCACCTCCTGGAAATTTGTATCTGGTTTCTCTGACCTATGAAAAGATTCATTGATGCAAATTCTTACACAAAACATCAGGAAACCTTTCAGATAGCTTGCTGCTGCCCAATCGCTGCTAAGTATTATTAAAAAATAAAAATACTGTTTAATCTCTTACACAATAGTTGTCTCTTTTGTGGGCACTTTAGGAAAACTGAGGATTCACTGAGCTATTGAAGTGCTCAAGTAACCCTTGAAACCAATCTTGTTTTTCAAGAGCAGTGAAAACAGAGCAATAAAGGAAGTCAATGTGCCCTGTGATCATTCAGATGTGAAAATCTGTTCCTTGCTCATAAGCCCCGTATTGCTTATTAGGAGGATAATCCCCTGCATGAAGGTTTGCTGTCATGTTTTTAAAGACCTTCACTAGTCTATCTGTAACACTGAGATCACATTTCAAGATTGACATAACCCAATAGCAATTTTGCTTGGGTTTGGCCCATATACACCAGTCTAAGAGTGAGTCAAAAGGTAACAAGCTTAAGGAGATGCTACTACCAAAACAGAGGCTTTAGATCCATATACAGGGTCACCCAAGATGTCTGCTGCCTTTCAGACACAGCTGATGCTTGGGAAAAAGATACATGTTGACAGGGTGAACCACATGGAAAAAAATGGGATTGTAAATCCAGAAATTATAATTCACAGCTGATTCAAGTAGCTCGTGGTGACACAGGTGGCTTTCTTATTGAGCCTATGGAGCATTAGCAAGTTCAATATCAAGTTAATTAAAAAACGCAGTGTGAGTACAGACCACATGGAAGATAGCTGTAATATGCTTTACCTCCCACCACTCCCTTGCCTCCCAAAATAACAACTTCCAGACCTAATACTGTGTTATAGATCAGTATTTCAAGATGCTGCATATTCTAGACTCCTAAACCTCAGATATAAACAAGGATTTACGTAACAACTTTTAATCCTGTTGAGAAGACATTTTTCATCTAAAAACACAGAGGGAAAGCAGCTTCTCATGCTGGGTCCATGACCCTATGTGAACACCAATTTGGTGTTTGAATTCAAATGAAAGCAAAGGTCTTACCTGCACCTTACTTGATCTGAGTGCCACTAGTAATTTCTTCATTTCCCTAGGGATACACAGCTTAAGACAGTTTCCTAGATTTAATTAGGTAATTACCTATTTAAGAGCAAGATGACAGAGCCTGTTACAAGCTTGCTCACCTTCTTCTAAAATTCTGCTTGTATTTGTTGAATGATCAAATCTATTATTAATATTTTGAATAAAGTTTGAGATGCTGTTAAACCCTCCCCAGGTTAATATATAGCAGAGTGTAGACAAGTCTGCAAATGCATTTACATTGTTAAAAGACAAGGTGAGAAGCGGAGCTTGATACTGCAGGTATTTTGTTACTAAAAATGCTTTGATCCTACTGCTCTTTAAACAATTTGGGGTAACACGAGGCTGACCTTACAAAATTAGGCAGCTGGAAGTTCCCCCTTTTAGTTATGTGATGCCAAGAATGCAGCTACAAAGTAAGCATATATCAATGTGCCACACAATTACATGCCGTGGACCAATCTAAAGCAGTTGTTTAGTCTAGCCAGGACACTGCTCAGAACCAAGTGGAAAATTTTTACCATGGTGATAAAAATTTATAGCGTAACTGAAAACTGATGCAAAGAGAACTTTCCTATCACTCTTCATGGATTTGTGTTTGGGTCCTTCTACCAAGAGGTGTGAGAGCACCTTATGTGCCAGCTAGCCTGAGGAAAAAACAAACTGTGCATAGATCAGCTCAAGGCAAGTTTCAATCAAGTGAAGGAAAAAAGGCCAGCAGCACAGCCTTTCACATTTAATTTGTGTATCCTTTGATCTTTCAAAGATATGCCACATTAAGTTTAACAAACAAGTGACACTCCTATATATATATTTATAAATAAACTGTTTGACTTGAAGTCATTGTTTTAAGGGTCCTACGTGATTTATCATTATCAGGAGAAATACATGGCAACTGCATGACACAATGCCGTCTTCCAGGTACCCTAGAGAGAAAGGTAATAACTGCAGGCAACAGGCTGACAGTTAAAGATGTTCTCTTTAATGAAATGACTTCGGAAATAGCATCAATTTCCATGACACCAACATTCTGGGAGTCCCATAAAATGCAGTTACATTCCAATGCCAATGTTACAGGCAGATCTCCTTTCACATGGCAAATAGGATCAAGAAAGCAACCATCAGACAGAAGAGACCCATAGCTTCAGACAGGGCGAATCCCAGGATAGCGTATGAGAACAGCTGCTGCTTCAGAGAGGGATTTCTAAAAAAAAAGTGAAGGTGTAAGACCTTTTTATCTTTACAATTGTTTTCCATACAGTTCAATGCATCTGAAGGGTTCAGAACCTTGTACTTCCTTGCCACAGATTCCATAACAGGCCAATAAACCCAAGAAGAAATAATTTTCAGCAAGGACGTCACCAAAATGACTTGGTATTTAAGACTGGATTCAGGATATGCAGACTGGATATGGTTTTTCAAAATAAACACAGTTTTTGTGACTACACTGATATATGGTATTGAATTTGACTTCTCTACATCTTCCCCATTCATGAACTATGAGCACTATGCTTTATTAATTTATTTCACAACGGGAACATTTGAACTATACTCCAAGGAAGTTGGTGTGAAACATTTTAAGTAGTCCTCAAATACAGGAACTGAAACCACCAGTTTGTTGCTAAAATGCACTGAATTAGCCCTCCAAGAAGTGTTTGGGAGAGAAAAAATCTTCAACATAATACCATGAAGTTCTACATCTTACTGGCACATTCATGCCAAATTCAAAAAAGGAGGTATTTTTGTACTAAAACACTCATGTTTCTTCAAGACAACTTCCTTCAGTAGGGCTTAAAAATCTTTCAGAAGTAAGTCTTAAAATTAAGTCTTACCTGGTTTCAGTAAAGCTTTTTTTATGCCTGTGTCAGTTCTGATCTTCCACACCACATGAACTATTTCTACTGCAGGAACAGTGTACTTATCTGGAAGGAGGTCACCCCTACTGTAAAATCCCAACCCTCAACCCCTTCAGATTTCTAGAAGGAATAATTATTCACTTGATAAAGTAATTACATATTCTGAGATGCAAAGCCAAGTGTGTTAGAAAAATGACTTAAGCATCCATTTCTAAGTAACAATCCTGACTAGTAAGTCTACAGCATACAAACTCACATTACCTATTAATAGTTTTTGCTCAGTTTCTCCTTAGGACTTCTCCTTCCCTCTCACATGGAAAATGATGCAAGCTAGATTTTTACACTCAGTTCTGGAACTGAATGCTAGAACACTGGACTTCAGAGATTGAAACACTAACAAAGTCTAACGATCTCACTGCTTTCATGTCTCTTCTCCAGGTAGAATGTACAAAGTTCTGATTTTAACAATACAGCCATCCTGATGAACACATTAGTTTCACATGACTCTATTTAGCCATGTTTAACATTAATAGCAATGATTAACAAAACTTATTACAGTGCCATCATCCTTACTACAACTTTGCATATCTGGAGTTGCTGTCTCAAGATATATCTGCATGCAATTCGAGAGCTTTATAAGAGAGAAAATGATTACCTGGCATAACCAATGATTAGACTACCGAAGACCGTTCCAATACCAGCACCAGAACCAGCCACACCTACTGTGGCAGCACCAGCACCAATAAATTTGGCAGCAGTGTCAATGTCCCTGCTGATAGCACTAGTCTGGAATTCTCTAAGTGCTAGTTGGGAGACAGTATTCTGGGCCCCTTTAAGTGTTGAGTTGCCCTAAGAAAACAAAACATGAAAAAGCATTATATTCAGACACAAACCATTTTCTATGACCACTTTGACAATGTTATTCTACAGTTTTAAAAGCTGTTAGATCCAATGTCTAGCTCCTCTTGCAAGACTATAACTAAGAGTTAAACACTTCAGAATATTACCTGTTCCAGCTGAAAGCAATCAACATTAAATGTGAAAGACTTCTCATGGTAAACAGCAAGATGGCAACAAGTACTATTAGGTGTTTGACTTAAAGCAACTTTCTCAGTATAACTAGTTGAGTTAGTACAAATGAACTCCAGGTTGAGGACATTTAGGCTCACCAGGTAATTTAGGAAGATACAGAATTTTGTTTATAAGGTACCTCTCCATTCTTGACCTCTGGCCTAGACAACACAGATGCCGAAATTGGTCTGTACAAGATTCTTGATCCAGCACGGATCTGCAAGAGAAGGAAAAAGCTATAAAATAGAACCATTTGATACAACTGTTCCTGTAAAATAGTCTGTAAAATTATAAGGCTATTACCTACTAAGGCTTTTGTGTTCCTTGAAAGACAGCAATCTTTGCAGAGTTGGATATGCAATAAATGATACAGAAGCAAACTGCCATGCAATTTGATAGCACCGTGTTTAGGAAACGTTATTGTGCATAACTGCATCCTTTAAGGAACATGTACACGTACTACACTGACAGAACGTGTATCAGAACCGTGACCAAAAAAAAGCCAAATAGACCAGAAAGCACTGATACATATTTTGATACGAAAAAATTAAATCTATCAAAATAAATTCTCAAGTTGCTACAAACACAGACCTAATCTAGATTTTGAAATCTAGCAAGTCGTAAATGAATGAATCCTCTTGCACAAGCGGCCTGCATATGTCCTTGAGCTCCCAGCAGTCTAAGGTCATATCGGCTCTCACACAAAGCTCTTCCTGCAGGGGAAAGCTGTGCCTGCACCCTGCAAAACGAGCCGTTCTGCAGGCTAGAGACGACATTTTGAAGAAGGACAGTCCCTTGTCTCTGCAAGGGCAAAAAATCCCGGCCTTGCCTGGGACAAGCAACAGGCTGGAGTTTGACCTACAGCAAGGCGCAGAGCGCACCAGGCCCCGCGGCTTCTCGCCGCGCTGCCCTTCCCCGTCCCCGCCGGCGCGGGGAGGCCCCTCAGCCCGGCAAAGGGCCCCGCTCAAGGAGGCGGGAAGGAGAACGCGGCGCTGCTGCGCTCGCCCTCCCCGCTTCACCTTGGCCCTCGGGCGCCCAGCG